AACGAAGTACCAATATACCAAGATAAAACAAACACCACAATCAAAACATTAGCTCGAAAAGACATCTTTCAATGTGACATCAACACAAAGAAACATTGTTGTGACTAGTCGGTCAAATGTGCTTTTTTGCCCATACATTTTCAGGGCAACAATATATATAATTGAAATCTAGGAAAGGTCCAAAGCCATGTTCTAGGACAATCAATAGACATAATAATGTGTATGAGCCAAGGATGACTTCCCCATGGAACACAGGCAATTATCTTCTCCAACTGAATGCTAAAGAATGACTTGCTAGTGTGGCACAGAAGTGTCACATAAGGATTGACAGACGATGTTGATTTCCTCTACCACCACCACCACCACCAATGTCGGCAGAGTAACCCTGCATGTTTCTTCTAATGTGAGAAGGGTAACCACATAATCTAAAGTCTGATTCATGTTGATGGAAGACATCATCACAATTAGATGCACTAGTAATGTCGGAACAGGTGTTTGTAGAAGCACCATCTCTGTAGTTTAAGTTTCCCCCTAGATGTACCTTAGATTCTGACATGTTTCCCCTCAGATTCAGCTGAGTACAGCTTGAAACATCTAGCCCATGGTTTGCTGAGGTGAGTTTCGACTCTTGAAGCTTTTTGGTATTCAAGAAGCGACCACCAGAACCTCTAGCTCTCTTCAACGCATGCAGATGGCGAGACTCGTGAAGATATGGCTGAAAAACAATTATGGCAGTGTTACTGAGAGAAATTGACCTTAGAAGGGAGGAAACAAAAGACAAGTGCTCACAGCACAATCCTTTTTAATACTCGTTCTATAAGTTAAATTTTACTGGAAACTACTAACATTATGAGTGAAAATGAAACTATCAAATTTTGTGCTTTTCCAATAAATTTTAACAATTATGGGCTAAAAGTTTGTGTTGCTAGCATTTCTAAAAAACCAAAATGCACTTACTTTCCGTTCTTTGATGAGTTTGTTCTGTGCTTCAAGTTTTGCACGGTATTGTCTGCGCCTCAGTATAGCATGGTACTGCTTTGCATTCACAAATATAGGCTCCTCACTTAGATCAAGGGGTAGAGGAATTCGAGCAGTAGCCATTCCTATCAGTTGAGCATGATGAATCTGACCATATTTTGACAGCATGTTTCAGAATATAGTAATGAACATAATTTGTCTTAGTGTTACCAGCACGCAATTCACTGGATGGCCTTAACTATAATAGAGAATCAACACATCATATGAGAATCCAAATACTCAAAGCTTGAATTGCAGCCCTATTATCTATAGAAGGTCCAATTTCTTTTTTCAACGACCAGGGGTAAAGGTTAGCAAGAATAAACATGCTGCCTTGTAAAGATTGCATCTCTGGTTATCAAGTTTAAAATAAAGAGTACCTTAAGTCAAAGACAAGAAACAAGCTCCTCACCATGATAAAAAGTGTTTTACTAAAATAATTAATACAATGAAAGAATAAGAACAAAGGAGGTGCAAAGGAAAGGAAAGAAACATTTTTAAATAAAAAGATTCTTCAAAAATATACTTTATGAACTATGAGAATCTGTAAGGTTGGCACGTTAACCGTTGCACAACAGATAGTAAAAACTAATTAAGCATGGATGACTGCTGAAAAGATTCCCAAGGATGTATAAATTGAGCATATTGAGAGAATATGAACTATGGACTATTCATTATTCATTTAAATAAGTAAAACAAAGGCTTCAACGTGAATACAGGAATCAACCACAATAGCATCTACTTCTTGTAACATCTATCCAAAAGTCTCTCAGAAAGCTTTCCAATCAAAATAAAACTAAGCATAATAAGAATAGCCTAAACTATTCTCAACAAAATCAGAAAGAAAAAAAAATAGCATTATACCAACCCTAGACAGAACACCAAAGTGGAGCAATTACAAAGTGACAACCTCATTATACCAGATCTATATAAAGTACTTTTCAGATAAAGCATAATCGGATGAACATGAGTCTGTCATACAGTTATTTTAGCAATTTGTTTATATGATAAACCTTTAACTAACTATGCTGAAGACAAGCTGAGAACAATACAAAATAGAGAAAAAAGAAAAAATAAAACACTCTAATATCTTACATTAGGTTGTGGCCCATATGGGGAAGCTAGTAGGCTACTAAAGCAGGGCTCAGCAATGTGGAATGCAGTATGAGCCTGAAAAGCAAATTATCAGAAAAAGATTTGCAAACAGTATTAGTCTACTAAGGCACAATCATAAATCAACTTACAAGTGGTTGGTTGTGACACAATTGTGAAGGAGGGAAGGCAAAATCCTGACCCCCCACAGATGACCTGATGACACCTTCCACATTCTTTCTCCCAGTTGTGTTAACAGTTGAACAAGCAGATGAATTGCTACACTGGACTGAAATTTGACCTGCAGCAAATATTTATCAACATCCATTAAGAAGTAAAAAAGTGTTTTATGATACCGATTAAGTGCATGTTTTGAATTTTTGTTGGAGTGTTCAAAAATACTTTTGAACAGATATTTCTTTCTCAATTCATGATTGGATTGGACAACTCTGTATTCGATTTCACAGAAGTACTTCTAGAGCTTTAACCAAACATGCACTAAGCAATACAGGAGCTAAGATCAACTCTAATTTTTGAAAGAAAAAGGGAAGTGCATTAAATGTGTGGTTATCATTATTATCCTATATAGGCAATGCTAAGTGAAGAGATATCATTAACCATATTATCATAATCATAAATTGGTATTACATGGGCATAGAATCATACAAAACGCATCCATTAGATCAGTCAGACATACAGATATAGACAAGGTTTTATTACAAATACCTGATTGCACTGAACCAACTTCCGGATAAGACTGACCAGTTGATTGAGATGAAGATGAGTCTCGGTCTTGATATTGAAAACTCAATGGCTTGTTCTTATGGCACTGTTGCGGCAGAACACTCATTTTCAAGGTCAAACTTCTGGACATGGATGATTGTTGAACATCAGATTCAGACGAAGTCCCCCATGATGAGCATCCAAGAGCATAAGGAGATGTTAAATGGGTAGAACCAGAGCCTTTCTCACACAAGTTCTTCATTGTTTTCCACTGTGGATCAAGGCTTGCTTAGAGTAGCAATTTGCTTACCTTCAAACAAAGAATAAACTATGATCTAAAATCAGGATTGGACCATATCCTTTTCTCAATAAACAGCAACTATTAATGAATATGCCAATTAGTACATGCACAAACAAACAAGGCAAACAAGTTGAAGTAGCTACTACTTTACAACAACTTTATAGTTTGTGTATGTGAAAAATCTATTATCTTTGCTTTGCATGTCAGCTTATCTTATGTGTATATTCAGAAAGTAAACTCACGGTTCTGTATTGGAAAAATAATGTAGGGAAGAGAAAAACATTATCTTCCTGTAAACAGACTAGAAAGCAAAGAAATCAGACAATATGAAGTGCCATGCAAAAGCTCCTATAAGATACTTAAAAAGGATTTGGTAAAGAGGATCGGAAATCTTTCCAAATCTTAAATCAACTTATCCTGCGGTACGCATGACACCTAAATTGCCTTATAGAAAGTCATGTGCTTATTTTATGCAAACAATGGAACAATGTGTGATACGTCATCAAAAGCAAGAAGAATTTGCATGAGACCAGAAGTTTCTTTTGTTTAAAACGAAATTGGAGAGCAAAGAATTGTGGGTTTCACTCACCAATAATACGAAAGTAAATAAATTTCTTTGAAAAGCACGAGTCTAGACCTTTCCATAGCAATCCGATAAAAAAACCGGATTCAACACAAACAGAATAGACAGATAGAATGCATGTGAACCGTTAAATGAAACGTGAATAAAAAGAGTAAAAAATATAAGGTGTAGTTAAGAGATAAGAGAAACAAAAATGGAAAAAGGAAAAGTGAGGATTAAAAAGAAAAAGGAGTTCTTTCTTTTAAAGACCTTTGACAGCATAAAAAGCATACCATAATTGAAAAGCTTTTTCATAAATGGCTAATTCCCAGAATATTCACATAAACAAGAAACAAAGTCATTGCCAAAAACAACAATAACATATTAACCATCAGCAAATAAAAGTCTTCCTGCTGACACATAACAAGAATCCCTCTATATAAGACCAGCCTTAGATTCACTACTACGCAACAACAAGAAAAGTTTATTTTTACGAAACAAAAAGAAAATTCTTCAGCAGAGAAATAAATAGTAAAGGAAAGAGACAATGAAGGAAGATGTAGAAGAAGGAACAGTAAAAAGAGAGAAAGAGACCTTGAAAAATCAGTACAGTGACGAGGAACAAGAAAATGGGATTTTGGTACTAACCAAAAGCTGTGCATGTACATGTGTGTACTTAAAAGCTTAGAAGAAACTCTCGATCTGAAACATAAGCTGAAACTGAAAGTGATACCCCACTATTGTCTCATACTCCTCCACTTCATCACCCACTTACTATTGAATTGAAACTTTCACTTGTGTTAGTGTATCCGGTCTCTTTTAAGAGCACCACAGACTTGAACAACTATGAAGTCTCTCTCTCACACAAACACACACACTCTCGCTCTCTCTCTCTCTGCATTAACACACGTCAATTAAGTTCAACTTCAAGACTCGAGTGTACTCTCTCACCACTCAGCCTCCACAGACCACAGCACCAGCTTTCTCAAATCTCCATTATCAAAAAATATTATTAATTATTATCATCAACGCTAAAGGGTGAAAAGAAAAAGGGTAGCAGTATGAACTAAAACCCATTTACAAAGTAACGTTTTTCTATGGTGACATTGACATATGACGATGTGAATATGATCACATCCTAATCTGAACAAAAGGGTTTTAGAAAATAATGATAAAATATTGAAGGGGTGCAAATGAGTTGTGTCGTGTAGTGGGACGTTGAAATGTGCATAGGGTTTTGGGGATTGGTTTTAAATAAGAGGGCTGCAAGTTTCAACCTCATTTCAGACTGTGATGCCTCCTACTCCATAGACTTCTGTGTTCCTCTTAAATGCTCTCCACGCTCCTTCAATGCTCCTTCCAATCTCACGCCCTTCTATTTCCTTCTTCTTATCTTTCCAATCCTAATTCTTTAACTCTCAACTTTAATCATATGTTTGTAACAGATGAAATGGAAGAAAAAATAAACATTAATTACATTTTATTTATTTTTATTTAATTTATACTTCTCTGTTTTTTTTATTATCAATATTTAATTTTCTTATTAACTGTTATTTTCAAAACTTAAAATAACGATAATTATTTATCCATTATCTTGTATTAGTTTATTATATGCATAATTATGAAATAGAAAATGTTATATATAACTTATTAACAAAAAATTATTATATTTATTACTTCTTTAAAACAACCACACATAGAAAAAAGGAAAGAGTAATTATGTATTTATTATGAGAGAGAAACAAAAATGAATGAGATAAAAAAAATCATAACTATTTTATTAATATCAAAATATTTATTGTATTGAATAAAATAATAAATAAAAAAACAAAGTAAAGGAGTTAGTAAAGTAAAATATTTTAGACTATAATAAATTACATTTATAATTTTAAAATTTTTAAAAAAATATATTGTTGATTGTGCCTTCGTTTTAACATAGTTAAAAATACGAAGTATGTAAAAATTATTGGATTTTTTCTTCTTTTCAAAGTTTTAATCTTCTTTTTCTTTATTATTAAAAGTTGAATTTTGAGGTAAGTGATTATCGAAAGTTCTTCACGACACTATGAAAACTTGGCAAGTGTGTGTTAACAAATATTCTAAAGGATTAAAAAAAATTAAAACTTATATGAAAAAATCATATAAAAGACAATCTTAAGGAATTCAATGTATCAAAATCATATCACTTTTAAATTTTAAAAATAATAAATAAATTGAAACAAATATCATTATTCTCAATACTAAAATATATGCAAAAATTAATTAATTTAATATTATTTGAGAAAATAAGTAATATTACTTAACAAAACTAATCACATTTTTCTTTAAATCCCTAAAGCAAATTTCATTGAAACTTATAGAAAAATAGAAATATTAAAAAATAAAATATCAATCAATTGAAATATATTTTTGAATGATATTATAAATTAACGTAAAAATAAATAATTTTTTTTTCAATTAACTTATTGATATATTATTATCGTCCGACGATTTTTTTTTCTAATAAAAAATATATATAATTATATAAACAATTATTCTATAATGTTGAAGTGGGGTATTAAAAAGAATTGTATAGAAATAAAAATAAATATTTTATTATAAATTTTATAATTATTTAAAATTTTAAAAAATTATTTAATATTGAAAAAAAAGTTACTGAGTAAATTTTAAGTAATTCATTGATATCATAATAAAATATTTATATTTATTTTTAAACCACTCTTATTAAATTTTATTATATTAGTTTTATTTTGTTATGTTTAAATTAGAGTTCTGATAAATTAATTCTTCATTAAAAAATGTATTAAATGAATAAATGAGTGAATTCATAGCTTAAACAGTATAAAATCATTAAATACTTATCAAGGCAAGTCTAATAAATTTAATGTGAATTAAATAATTATGAAGGTAAGTCTAATAAATTAAATATATAAATAATATTGATTGTTTATATTCAATTTGCATAGAGAGGAGTTAATAATGCAAAACACGTTTCTTCATAATTGGATAACCAAAATGATAGTTAAAATATTTTAAAATTTATTTATACAATAAATTTCAAAATATACGATGTCGAAAAAATATTTTCAAATATATATTATTTGTAAAAATTAAAATTGTATTAATTATATTTTTATTTTGTAATTATATTTATTACAAAGAGAAAATAAAAATTTATTAAAATGGAAAATACTAAAATTATAAAGATATTAATAAAGAATTAATAAGTTTATTAGAAATAATAACAAATATTATTTATTAGTTATAATATAAGTGAGAGGAGTAGCTTTTAAATGAAAATGATTTTTAATTAAAAGAAAATCATACATGGGATAGGCAAAAACACATGAACATTTTTCTAAAATAAAAATTTGAATGTTCTGTGTAACATAGTATTTGAAAACATGAACGAAGAATAATAGAAGCAGACATTGCAAAGCAGAGTTTGACAGTGATTATGGTTTCTTTCCTCTTCAGGTTTTGGTACAATGTCAGTTCGATATGGTTTTAAGAAAATATATTATATGCAGTGTAGTACCAAACACAACATTACAATAATGAATACATTATCAACAAGGATAGAATTTTGTCATGTCTTACAAAATAAAAGAAAAAAGAATGGTGAGACATTAGGGTTGGCAGCTAATCACCATGTCCTACATTGATATTTAATACAAGTTTTGATGGTTTCTAAGGATAATCATAAATAATTAACAAAACTGTAACAATATTTTATGTTTAGTTTTGGAGGGTGGTTGTCCTTTTCATTTCCTTGTCATACAATGTTGCCTTTCTTTACATTGTATATTTAATGGAAGACAACTGCAAAATATGTTCCATAAGATAAATTAAAAAAGAAGAAGAAGAAGTACAACATAAAGTAGATATAATGGAAGTGTGATCTGCAGTAAAATAAGCTAATCATACAAATCATTATTAAGATTTTTTAACTGGTTACAATTTTCACTGTCTATAGGATTGTATAATTATAAGAATTTAAGATTATTTCATTTGGGAATTCAGAACCAGTAGTCTAAATTATAAAGATTACGAGATATCCCATGAGAATAGATATGGGTTAGAAATAAAAATAAATATTTTATTAAGGTTCGAATTATTTAGAATTAAAAGAAATTATTTATATAAATAGTTCTGATTAAATTTTAAATTCATATATAAAATTCATAATAAAATATTTATATTTCTCTTAAACAATTCTTATTAAATTTCTATATGTCTAATAGTTTGCTCTTCACCCAAAAAAAATAAAATATTAGAGACTAATCTTTTAAAAGAATAAAGATTACTTTTTTTATGCACGAATATATTTGGCCAAAGAATCTAAATAAATTAAGCAATTGGAACGAAACGAAATCTATCAACTTCTGTGGTAAAGAGTTTAGCAAAAAAAAGTTGAGAAAGGAAAGAGAAAGAGATGATGGAATTTATCTCATTTGTTTCATATAAAGGGAGAGAAGAAAAAAATCACAATTTTAAATTTCTTCATTCGTCACAGTTGAGATTTTCTACCGTACTAATATCCCCCACCCAAAATAATTCATCATTGTTGTTCGTAAACAATTGTCATATTGGATATTATAAAAATAATAATTATTAAAATTTCATAAAATCAATTAACATTGATTTTTTTCCCTTTATTTCTATTTCCTTTTTCGATATTTATTATTTTTCTTTATCTAATATTTCCAAAATTCACCATATTTTCCACTTCTTTGTCTCTTACGTATTTTCAAACAAAGCATAAATGAATAAAAATATAACTAAATAAAAAATATTAGAAAGACCAAAACCTAAAGAAAAATCATGAAAAAATTGTACTTTAAACCTCTTCCGGATTCCTTGATCTTAATTTCTTAAAAAAATATATAAATTACGTTGTTCCTATCATCACCCTCCAATTGTGAGACAATTTTAATCTAATATAAATAATCCTAGTAATAGAGGTGAATAACTATGAATAAATCAACCACGCATTTTTCCTTTTATTTTTAATTTATACGTATACGGATATTAACAAGTAATTTTAATCGTTGTATTATCTAATTTTACACTTTAACGAATAAAATGATTTTAGACACTCATACTATGAGTTTAAAAGGCCACAAAATATTCATTTATTCTTTGCCGAAGTTCTAGAGCAAAAATGTCAATTCTAAACACTCAAATGATTAAAGCTACTTTTGAGTAAACAGTGAGCTCCAAAATTATGCTTGCACAAGAAACCCAACCCTTATGTACTAGAAGTGCATTGGAATCTGTTGCACAAGAATTTAGACGGTAATCCAAACATGCACCATTACCATAAATCAAACGCGCACATATGAAATATACCAGTATCTAACTGATAAGTTAATGATGACTGCAGACATGACTAAAGGTCAAAAGAATGGTAGTAATAAACTAGGGAAGACGCTTATTAAAGTTAAAGTTGCACAATAATAACAGTTAATCTGAGTATTACATGACCGAAAACTGAGGAATCCCAAAAGAAGTGAGAGTATAACAGAATTAACTTATACGAGAAATCCCGGAATTATCAAACATTTCATGGAAATTCTCTCGTAAGCTGCAGATATTCTTGTCATTTGAAACTCTTTAAGCCATCCACTTGGTTCATTCTTTTCAGGCATGGATCCGAAGTGCCAGGAATGCAATCAACTAGGCGGTCAGTAATCCCGTCCCTTATACGGCATCTCCTGTAAAAAAAAAAAATTGGAAGATCGAGTTTACAAAATAATGACCATAGAAGTTATCCTGGAAATATATCAAAGAGATAAGTTCGGTCAAATCCATATCAAATGCCTAAATAATGAAAGGTCCTGCTCCGAGGCTCTTACAAGAAAAGCGTCCAACGGCATATATTAAACCATTGACATAATTATTGTTATCACGTGCCTTTCTCAAACTAGGATACACAATTAAACAATATACAAGTTGAAGCCTTCTAATCAGAGTAATGGAGAAAGGAAAAACATTTTTTGAATAAAAATCAGCAAAAAGAATAAAAACAAGATATTATGAGCAAAACATGCGAGTCCTTACAGGTTGGTAACTTGGCACGTATAAAATTTGCCTAGGATGACCAAGAAGTTGTCCATACTGCAATAAAATTAATAATATTAAATAACATTCTGAAGTATCAATATTGAGAGTCACCAAAGAGAAACTATAAGTGAATCCCACCGGTGGTCCATTTGGATGAAAATATGGCTGCGATGGCATTTGTGCCACTTGTGGATTATACATGACAGGCTGTGGACCTGCAAAAGTAGTTCCAACCTGCAAAACATAAGCAACGTAATCAAACAAAAGTCAGAGGTTACTATGGAAAGATAGGTCAATTTGGAACATCACCAAAAAGTTCAATATTAGTATGGTTCAACTTAAAGCATGGTCTACAGAGATGGAAACAAGACAAGCAAGTAATTACTAATGATCTTTTTTTACATCCTATAACTAACGCATCCCATGTTGACATAACATAAGTTGAGGACCAAACCATCCCAGTAAGAATTAAAAGTACATTAGAAGCACCATTCTATTCAATATCAGTTTATGACAACAGCCAGAAATATTGTTAGAACTAGGCAATTATACACTAAACGCCTAGAAGAAAACCTCATATAGAACTCGGTGAAAATATTAAACCACCAACTACAATAGAAAACCTCATATATTACATAATTTCCTAATTGAATATTGAGAATAACATTCCATTAAATACTTACTCCAATACCCATGGGCATAGCTGGCATATTTGGTACGGAGGATACAGCAGCTGGGTAATAGAAGGAACCATCAGACGCTGGGGAGCGGGGCCTAGCATGTGCTTGGGATGGCATAAAACTCTTTGCATTAGGGTTGAGTTTGAACTCCTGACAACAACAAAGGGGAAGAAGCTATGAGAAATTACAGCAACATAAATAACAAACTTTGTGTCCACCTTAAGTCAATAGTGTACTTTCACACCTTGGCATAGGGATTGAGAGTTGACTTCTCCGAAGACAGTGAACCAACCGAAGAACTTGGTGATATACCAGGACCAGAGGATGTACAACCACCTAGTCTTCCACGTGAAATTACAGACTTCGTTTCTCCAACCGACACAGTTTCTTCAAGAGCTTTCGATAAAATATGAGTAGAAGAGGCAGAGGAGGCCCCGTTAGGAGATAACCCCCCTTCTTCAGAACCAGCTTTCTTCGATTTAAGTGATGACTGTATATCTGCACTAAAAATTGCCAAGATCAGATAAATATAATACACAATAAAGAACTAATCACTGAAGAAATTTCAACTGCCGGTGAGAGCTTCGATTCAGAAGTACAATCAAGTTCTGACAGAAGCTTCAATACTTCATTCATAATAAACAGAATAATCACTTAAATGACACTGGTTAGGTTATGTCCACATTAGTTTCAGGCACAGTGCTTTAGATCTAGTCAGTTCAGGAAGATGAGAAAGAAACTACACAGACCCTGAGATTTTGACAGTTGGACATCCTCAGCTTGCTGCATCAATTAACAGTAAAAAAGAAAGAAAAAGAGAAAAATGAGATTTAAGATTTAATAGCTATCTCGTGTGAAATATTGAGCAAATATGAGAGTTGTAACTCTGACTCACTATCCACTTTTCTTCCACAGTATTATCATTGGCTCCATGTAGGTTATTAGCTGAGTTCTCCTGAATCCTGTCAGGGGATTAAGAATGATGATAATGTTGATATTATGCTTTTATGTTTCAAAAAGCCCCTTGGGGAATACAAGAATTATGACGAATCAAGTAATTATATAAAGAAAACTGAACGAAAAAAATAAACAAATACCTGCTTTCACCATCTGAATGTGAACAACTCTGGGCAGGCAGTTCAGATGCTAACTGCTTAGCATGGTCATTAGAACCAGTACGACACGAATCCATACCAGTACTTGAATGACATAACTCTGAGTGACCCTGAGCATGAAAGCAAATTAAATATCAAGCTAAATTCAGGAAATAAAGTAATTGATTTATAAGGACAAGGGAGGAGAAAGCAAGAGTATGGATAAAAAGTAACATTGTATTTTTGGACACAAATTATGAAATTTGTAATATGTTTAAATGTTAAAGCTGTACTAATTTCAAAAACAGAACGAGACTGAAAACATTTAGCACACTTCCAAGCAGAAATTATACACAAAAGCATCAAAACTATAAAAAATCAAATCAAATATTGCCTACTTAATGGTGATATTTTATCAATAATACTGCAGAAGTAGTTTATCGACTAGAGTTGCTACATTGAAAATGTTACATTGAAAATATTAACACACCCAAAAATTGGATTTGGATATACAGTGTTTGTCAAAAGATCCTTAGGTTTTGGGGTGGGGTGGGGTGGGGTGAGGATGAAAGATCATAAAGAGGTGATTGAAATACAAATAGTGCCAAAAATATGACATGGTTTTTAAGTTTTAACATATAAAATACAAGTAATTAAATCATGTAATATAATACCACCAAATACCAAGCAAGAGTTTTAGGTATTTATTCCATAATTATTCATTTGATAGTGATTATGGAACGGAAAGAAAAAGGAGCAGAAAGATAACAAAAGAGGTTAATTTCAAATGATGGCCCAGATCAAACCCAGTTCACGTGTTTCAGAAACCCAAAAGAGAAACAAGATCCACACAAAAAGTGATCTGTGATCCAAATGAGAGAGGGAGGTTGAGGGTTAAGAGACAAAGAGGTCGGGTGTTTGAGAGAAAAAAGAGGAAGTTTGAATGATTAAGAGAGGTCAGGACGAGATGAAGGAATTCCAGATCTCTCATGGAAGTTGTGGTCTTTCAACCCATCACAGTAAGGGTCACCCAGCTTGCCAAACCCAGGGTTGCAGTTTAATGATCCTCAATACAGACAGGATCATGTGATCCTCCAAGTAAGGTCATGATATTGATTGCATTTTGTACTGTTCACAGTGTTCCCACCTTAAAACCAGTGTTTCCAAGGCATCATCACAATCTTCTGTCAGAAATGTGAGTGTAAATGCTGATTATATTTTCATATTTATTATAATATTGATACAAAATGCTTTTCACCATACGCACTTCATCTCCCACCCTCAAAATTCTACATGAGATCTCTTTTGGTAGAAGAGGGATATCATGGTACCCCTCATAAAAAGAATGAGTGATTCTGGACGGTAAACTAAATGGAATGAGAAGCAAATGTCTGCAAGTTGTCTCACTCATAACTTAAAGACCAAGATGGGAAAAAAAATAGAGGTCAAATGATTACTACAAAATCCCATAACACAGATAAATCATTTACACAGAAGCATGATTAGCCTCCCAAACAGCTAACACACTTTTCCCGTGATACCACTCATACTCCAGTCTTAAGTCACAAGAAAGGACACCATTAACATCCAAAGTGACAAATGATATAAAGTATAGACTAACTAAAATACAACACATATACAACTGATTGAGGAGGTACCACAGAGGAGAAATTTGACCATGTTTGAGCTGCATTATTTCCTTTCTGGCTTACTTCACCTGGTCTCTTAATGACTAAACCATAAATATTATCAAACGTTTCAGAATTGTGTGAATCCAACTTGTCCTCATTTTCGTCATATCCAATATCATCAACTGTACCCCTATAGACTGAAGAGAATCTGGTTTCTTCATCAATATCAAAGCTATGGTAAAGGCCTCTTTCCTGTTGATAAAAATAGTTTGAGGAATTCAAATAGATAATTAAATAAGAACTTATAGAACTCCACAAACAGAGAAAAACCCATTGAAGCCACACCAACCTCTGCTAGATGAAGATCTGGGGTTTCCTCACCCTCAATTTCTCTTGCAATTCTTAAAGCTTGCTTTTCCAACTCTCTTGTCTGAGGTCCTTTTTCAAGCTTTGTTGTATATAACTCCTCATTGAATGTGCTTTGCACACCGAATAACATTTTGTTTGTTTCAAACTGATCCCATCCTCTAGAAAAATACATAAATAATTGTCAATGTAAGAAAAAACAGAAAATCTGTTTAGAATTGTAATAAGAAACAAATGACAAAAACCTAGATATAAATAATGGCACTACCAATGCCAAATAAATCTTAAGAAGTAAAGACCTAGCACAAAGTCCCTATTTCTATTTTGCTATATCAGAATAATTCATTATGCCAATACTTTCAATAATTCAACAAGGAACATTTAGCTTCCATAATGGCTCCTAGAAGTCAGCCCCAGGAATAGAATAGAAGCAACAAGAAAACAACTGATCCATTTTTACTTTTTCTTGACAAGGAATCATAACTTATTAAAAGGCTTCAAGGAAGAACACTGCAACTTCATAGGACAGTAATAAAAGTAATGTCACCAAAGTACAAAAGACAAAAATAGAATACCTAGGAAACATGTATAAGAAAAATAATCATTAAGCTCCTACACAGAATTCTATCTCTCACAAAGAATCATCATCTATAGCTTTTCCTTCACTTGCTAAAGGAACATCCCACAGTGCATTTCTGAATTCACCAAAGATCTCATTTTACATATGATAGTAGTCCAGTAATCCATAAAAGTCTATGACACTAATTATTCATGTTTAACAGAACTCATTACTCAGAAGAAAAACTTAAAAAAAAAAAAAAAAAAAAAAGAGGTCCCAAGCAAAAAGAATTTTGAATCGTAGTAAACCGAAATGTCCCTAATAAATAACTTTGTTCCAAAAGGCCACATAGATGAACAAGAAACATGTGATCAGAAAGTAATTGAAAGATATAGACTGGAGAAAATAGAAATAAGTAAATTTACAGAATCAATGTCCACAGGTGATTCTAATCTATTATGACTCTTGGAATGTGAGTTACCTAACTCAACTTCACAACACCACCAGCTTGTGAGGCAAGGGTTGTCCTATACTTATATACTCTAGTTAAGAGAGTAACGAGAGTTAAAAAGAAATTTATAATTCAGTGGAATGTCATTCTCCACTCTATGATCTCATATATATATATAGGATTACAACATTTAAAACAACAATTACCAACTACCAACCATCAACTACTAACCACTAACCACTAATAATTCTAACACTCTCCCTCAAGCTGGAGCATACAAATTATATGTGTCAAGCTTGGAACAAATAAATTCAATTCGAGGTCCTCTTAAAGACTTTGTCAACACATCTGCAAGTTGATCATTGGACTCGACAAATTCAGTGCAAATTTTTTTAGACAATAATTTTTCACAAATAAAATGACAATCAATTTTTATATGTTTGGTCCTTTCATGAAACACCGGATTAGAGGCAATGTGGAGAGCTTCTTGATTGTCACAATACATCTTCATCTGTTGGATCTCACAAAATTTTAGTTCTTGAAGGAATTGTTTCACCCACACTAGTTCACAAGTGAGAGATGTCATTGCTCTATATTCAGTTTCAGCACTAGACCGGGCCACTACATTTTGTTTCTTGCTTTTCCAAGAAATAATATTGTCTCCAATGAGAACACAATATCCTGTAGTGGAGCGTCTGTCAATAGGGGATTTAGTCCAATCAGCATCACAATACCCAGATATTTAGGTACCCCCATTATCTTCATACAACAGACCTTGTCCTGAAGCCTTTTTGAGATATTTTAGGATGTGAACGACAACATTCCAATGATCAGTACGCAGATTTTGCATAAACTGACTGACAACTCCAACGACAAAAGATAGGTCAGGTTTGGTAATTGTGAGATAAATGAGTTTCCCAACAAGTCTTTTATATCTCTCAGGATCAAAGAGCGGTTCACCCTGATCCGCCATTAATTTCTGATTTGGATCCATAGGGTTGTCTACTGGTCTACAATCAATCATGCCTGTTTCTTTCAGGATATCTAAAACATACTTTCTTTGGGAGACTACGATGCCTTCTTTTGATTGAGTCACTTCAATCCCTAGAAAGTATTTAAGACAACCAAGATCCTTAGTTTGGAAGTGATTGCATAAATGTTTCTCTAGCAGAGCAATTTTATCAACATCATCCCCTGTAATGACTATATCATCCACATATACAATTAAATAAACACATTTTCCTAAAGCAGTATAATAAAAAACAAACTGATCTGCTTCACTTCGTTTAGTCCAAATCTTTGAACAATGTGACTAAACTTTCCAAACCAAGCACATGGAGATTGTTTGAGACCATAGAGAGAACGATGTAACTTACAAACCAAACTAGACTCCCCATGAGCAACAAAACCAGAAGGTTGCTCTATGTAAATTTCCTCCTCAAGATCACCATACAAGAAAGCATTTTTGATATCTAACTGATGAAGAGGCCAATGACGGATAGCTGCCATAGCAAAGAAAAGTCGAACAGTAGTCATTTTGGCCACAGGAGAAAAAGTATCACTGTAGTCAAGGCCATAGATCTGAGTATAGCCTTTTGCTACTATTCTAGTTTTGAGTCGATTAACTTCACCTTTTGGTCCAACTTTAATGGCATAGACCCAACGACAACCAACAGTCTTCTTCCCAGGTGGAAAAGGAACTAAGTTCCATGTACCATTGTGCTCAAGAGCATGCATTCATCAATCATAGCTTGTCGCCATCCAGGATGATCAAGTGTCTCTTTCACATTTTTTGGAATAGTAATAGTGGATACAGAAGAAACAAAAGAAAAATAGGAAGGAGACAATCTATGGTAGCTAAGAAAATTGTAAATGGGATGTGGATTACGAGTAGAGCGAGTACCTTTGCGAATGACAATGGGCCAACTTGAGTCATCATTATCAGGAATCGTGATATCAGGGGATGATTGAGAAGGAATTGCTGAGGAAGACTCATCTTGGGACATAGGACTGATCATTTGGCTCCTGTGTTGATAGGTAATAAGAGGCAGTGATGAGGATTCCGGTGTATTTTGTGTGGAATTTTGGGTGTCAGGAGGAGGAGGTACAAATGGTTCCACTAAGGGTATAGGTAGGACATTTTGGACCGAACTAATATCCTGCATAGAAGAAGGGAAGAAGGAAGTTGATTCAAAAAAAGTGACATTAGCAGATATGCAGTACCTCTTGGTTTCAGGAGAATAACATCGATATCCTTTTTAAAGACGAGAATATTCCAAGAAGACATATTTGATGGCTCTAGCTGATAGTTTATCTAAACCTGGAGACATATCATGAACAAAACATACGCAACCAAATACACGAGGCGAAACATGAAAGAGTGGCTCCTTTGACAATAGAATAGAGTGTGGAACTTTATTGTCAAGAGAAGAAGATGACATTTTGTTAATGAGAAAACATGCAGTAAGAATAGCATCTCCCCAATGATGAACAGGAATATTTGCACCAAGTAATAAGGTACGAGCAGTTTTAACCAAATGTCTATTTTTTCGTTCTGCTATACCATTTTGTTGTGGTGTGTGAGGACAAGTAGACAGGTGTAAAATGCCTTGGGAACTTAAGAGAGTGGAGTATCAATTCTCACTTTGCAAGAAAACTGACGAATGGTAGCAGCAGACAACTATAGCGGAACGAAGGCCGAAAGGTCACTAGAAGGTGGTCGGAAAGTCTTCGGAGGGCAGCAAAAAAGTGACTGGACGGGGGGTTGACGGTTGCCGGAAAGTGACAGGAAAGTGATAGAAAAGTAACCGGAAAGTGGCCGGAAAAGTGGTCGGACGGTGACCGGAAAAGTAGTCGGACGGTGGTCAGACGGTGGTCGGACAGTGACCAGAAAGGCAGAGCAGGACCAACCTGCTCTGATACTAAGTTAAGAGAGTTAAAAAGAAATTTATAATTCAGTGGGATGTCATTCTCCACTCTATGATCTCATATATATATATAAGGATTACAGTATTTAAAACAACAACTACCAACTACCAACTATCAACTACTAACCACTAACCACTACCTAATCATAATTCTAACAACTCTTTCAATATTTTCTATTCGATATGAGACTTGGATTTTTCCCAATAATGACTAATGATACATCATTATGTAGGGGTAATGATTTTCTTGGTGACCAAATTCAATTTTTCCACCATACCCAATATCCCATGAACCGTGTTTATAAATTCAAGATGGAGGAGAAATATTTCTTATAAAAAATGCAGGAGAAAGATGTCATTAAGACATCTACTGTTTGTATCTTACATCTTCTTTTTAATAAAGTTCCAAAATGTAAACTAGAAAAGGTTCATATTACCGTTTCTCAGCCAACTTCTAAGTTTAAAGTATAACAAAGGAGACTTATATGCCTGCATCTGGGTATCAAAGCTTCAATAAAAGGATCAATTCAATTTCTGAAAAAAATGAATGCTATAAAGCATGTTCTATGGGTGGGATCCACTGAAAACAACCATATCATTCTTGAAAGAAAATTTTTAGGTATAAAGAATTTTTAGGTATAACGAAAAATATGAAGCCACCTATTCCAAGGGCCATCAAATATATTTTCCAGTTCAGGACATTCTGGATCATCTTCATCAGGTACCCATGGCTGTAATTCTCTACCTGTCTCTACATGACGAGATTGGGAGATTACTGAATCAACCATGATCTCATGATGCATATCATAGTGAGGTTCACTAGTTTGGCCATCTCTGAAAACAGAAACATCCTGCCACAATGACGCAGAAAAAATATCATCAGGAAACAAATTGGCAGTGTGTTTGATGCAACTTGCTTCCTTTTTTGTTTGTTTGTTTTTAAAAAACATAGAATTTAAACTGGGATTTCTATCATGATTTCCTAAGTACACAGCAAATAAATGAAAGGTAGCAAACCTTTGCTATAACTTGTACAAGATCATTGGAAGGTATAATTAGAGTCTTAGAAGGAGCTTTGCTGACAGGTTCTACATCAGATCTCTGTCCTTGCAAAAAGTCATCCTTTGTCAAACAAGCCATTCTCAAAATGATTCCTAAAAGAACAGTAATGATGACATAAGCAGCAAAAAAATGTAAAATTCTATACGGTCTATAAATATACTAATGAAAACTGGAAGCTGGAATATATTAAGAACTACAACAACACAAAAATTATTATTGTCCTCAATCATCAAATCAATAACAAAAGCATAACAGAACATACCATAATCTTTGTCAGTATTTGTTGCATGAAATATTCCAGAGTAAATAGATCCATTTTTCACCTGGACTTCCACATGCTGCCCAATAAGGCATGTTGTTAAATATACTAGTCGATCATGTGAAGGACTCCCATAACTACCACCTTTATTGCCAGTCACTACACCTGTAATCATAAATATAAGCAAAGGAATAAGTAAAACAGAAAATAATAATAAGTCAGATCTGAAGTTCACCTGTACTTGCTAATCTGCTGCTGGCATTTGACTTTCCAGAGGGGATCCTATTATCAGACTTAGTTGCCACTTCTTTCTCAAATTTCCAACGACCATATCCATTAGATGATTTAGGCTGCCCAATTTGTTGCAAATCCATCCTCACCCACAGCCCTTGTTCCACTAATCTAGAATACTTAGAAAGTCAATTTACAAGACTTCATTCTATAAAAGATGGCAAAGAAAGGGTATACATATATATTAACAAAACAAACAAATTCCAAAGACTTATATTAACATTACATGCAGAAGCATATAAAATGAAATAACCACAAAGTATATATGAAACCCATACACTATATACAACACAGATACAATACAACACCTTAAAAATGAAAGATATGATACAGCCTATACATGTTAACATGAATTGAAAAAAATACTCTACAAAAAATGCACAATATTTGTAAAGAGACATGGATAGTTTCTCACTACAAGATTTTATCTGTGGATGATAATCAAAATTTGATAAAAAAATAGAAAAGAAAATAATAGGGATGTAGTGATTATGGTAATTATGGTAATTATTAGAAAGTGGATTTGGACCTAACGCCACCTTACAAAACTAATTTATATGATAAGATTTGCATCTATTTATATATCATAATTTGATCATAACTTTAGTCAATATATGATCTTCGTAAGCAATAATTATGCAAAAAGAGTTACATATCATTATTCCCTTGCCCAGATCACAATGTACTCCGTCCCCTGTCAACATGGCACAGGAATTACCTATTTTTCCCTATCCATGTTAGAATGTCAAAAAAGGCATCATTAGTTTTGCTCAAAAGAGTCGTGACAATATAATTGTCTATAATTTACTAAAGCTTTATGGATACAAAAAACAAGATAGATAAATATTTAATGTTAGTCCTATTAAAGTATTAAGTTGTATCCCATACATGAGTCAATTTTTTTAGAGAAAAATATATCCAAATCATTGAAAGTCCCAGTGGCTTTGAACCCAGACCATTTTACTCCTCACGCTCCAGACCCCTTTTACTCGGTTACAACTCAATCATGTCCGTGAAAAATCAAAACCTAAAAATCATTCTCTATTCCTAAACCTAAAACAAAGCGTGGAAATTAGAACCTCAATGCCCTCAATATAACACCCACTACCAATAACAAGGTCTTCAAAATTTCAAACACCACAACCAACAGTTGACTGCAAAGCCTAGGGGAGCAGAGTCATCATTCTTCTTCGTAATGAAGCTTCGTTTTCACTTTTCCTTAAACTAGATCAATTTCCCACTCCTCTCCCTCGTCAATTAAAAACATAATAAATCAATTAATTTTTTAACCCGGGCAATGTGGAACGAGCAAATGCAAGAGAAATTTCGTTCACTCAGGCATGAAGCGAATGCAGGATATTACCGTGGGTTGATTTTTGAAATTAAAATTTATAGACTAAACAAAGAAAGTGGTGTTCGCAGGTTTGACAGAATTGAAAAAGAGAAAAGGATACCTGCGATCAGAATAGGAATCGCGTTGAAGGGTGTGGGGTTAGGGATGAAAACGACGTCGCAGAGACGGAGAGAGAATCAGAATCAGTGCTTCTTCCTTCGGTTTTCAAAGGCGTAGAGAGAACAGAGAAAAAAAAAATTGAAAAGAACAGCCACGAAGCTTCAAAGCACTTAACAATTAACAGAGTAAAATTTTTGCGAGCGTAAACAATTAATTAATTAACTAATTAATTGATTAACGATCACTAATTGATCTCTTAAAAACGGTTATCTATTATAAGTCAAGAAAAGTCCAGCACCATTCTACATTCTACCCCTGGCGTATCCCAATTCTCAATGCTACTTTATTTTTATATATTTAATATTTTTTTATGGAATATATTTAATATCTTAAAAAAATAACATTGATATTTAATTATTATTATTATTGAAAAGGCGCATATATACTGTGTTTATGTTTTTATTATATTTTTATTTATTAAAATTTATTGTACATATTAATTTAAAATATAAATATTTATTCTTAAAATTATGATATTAAAATAAAAACAAATTATTGAAAATATAAAGAGAATATATAATTAAAAAATAAAATATATTTTTTATTATTTTATATTTAAATAAAAAATTAAAGAAAAATATGATTAAAAATAGTATATATATATATATATATATATATTATATAAATTATACTTTTTCTCTTCTTGATATTTTATGTTAATATTATAATCTATTTTTTTATATTTGTAAATTTTGCAAATATGAAAATTGTTGTTCACATAGATAAAACAATAACGAATAAAAGATACTAAAATGAATCAAACATTTATTTAAAGACTAAATAAATTCTCCGTAGGAAAAAGTGAGAAATTAAAAAAAAATATATATATATATATATATATATATATATATATATATTAAAATTTAAGAGGAGGATGTTGATTAAACAATAATTTATTTTTCCAACAAAAATAATTGATTCTTATTTACAATATATCAATGTAAATAATAATCATAATGACTTGAAAAAAATCCCTAGACTAAATATGAAATATCAATTTACCAAAAATATGGCATGTTTAAGTTAAACAATTTAGTAATATACCAGCAAATCAAATATATAAATTAACTAATATTGATAGTTTTGATTTAAAATTTCAAATCTTGAACATATGAATAATTTAAAAAGATATTATGATTTAAATAGTGATCCAATAAATAATATATAGAGTGTGAATAAAAACTATTTTGTAATTAAAATAATATTTTTAAAATCAAATTGTGATTGAATTAATGAAAGCATTGATTCAATAATGCAATGAGGCTAAAATTATGTTGAAATAGATGATACTTAAATTTATATTTTTAATCTTACATTATACTTTTACATAATAAAAGTATAGAACTATTAGAAATACGATTTGAAAATTGTAAATCAATATATAAGTAAATAAAACATTCATAAGATATCGGTCCAAAAAGATATTTTATAAGATAAAAATTAATAATAATTAAGACTAGTCAGATATTAAAAAAAAATCTTTGAAGAATTATATAAACTAAACTAAAGATAAAAAAGACCACTTCAAGCCAATTTTTTTTTATTAATCTTCAATCGATTTGACTAGTTATTTGTTAGTTCTTGGAAATTTTAGATATTTTTTTTTATGGAATTAATAGACTGGTTAAGAAATTAATTACTGCAAATCACTTTCGATTATGAGTTTTAATTGAAAATATAGAACTCAGTCAAATATTTCATTGACCAACTGAACTTATTATCAAGAACAATGCCCCTTGCTCTGTTTCTCGTAGAGAACAAATCAAATCCTAACCATAATATTCAATACAAGCACTTTCAATACAACCAATTAGCATAGTTCACCCCTCCATGAAACTACAATATGATCAGCAGAACCAGAAATTCTATACTCTAGTGGCAGTGAAACTATACTCCAAAAATTATAATGATCCTTTCAAGAGAAGTGGCATTGTGCTAAATTCACAGTGGCAACTTGATTTTCTCAGACCATTTGAAGATATCAGAATACACCCTATCACCTCCTAGATCTTCTCCTGTGGCCCCTGCTGCCACTCTTATGACATCCTCAATCAAAGCAAAGTTTCCCATGATGTCAACATGAGCACCACTTTGTGTGCCTCTTCCTTCTAGCAAGTTGCTTGGAGGAGAATGATCATATTCTCTAACGTAGGTGCGAATGCCAGAAGGGTTGAATCTTGTTTTTCCACGCCAACCTTTAGCACACATGAAGCCTGAGCTTAGAACAGGCACAGTCTCATCCCCATCAACAGTGTATACTCCACCGTGTAGACAGCTATCTTCATCATGACCACCATCTTGAGTTGTGTCAATTTCAAAAGGAATGTAACACTCGGCAAAGGGAGTTAACTTGTACACATAAGATCTTTCAGTTGGTAAGCCAACTCCATACATAGAGAAGATTTCCATATCAGGGGCATCTGGTAATCTGCAGTTATTTTAGAGTAGCAAAAGACATCAATTCAATGCACAAAATGAGTAACTACACATGAGAAGTGGTCAATACATTGTCAACCAATATCCCAGATTATAAGAGCTAAAACTATTATGGAGCACTACCACCAAAGTGTTAATATTAGAAATGTATTACAATGATAAGGGTATGTTTCATTTTTATTATTTTCAGAATTAATATTAGAAATGGAGCTAAAAAAGCTTACTTTGTTTCCAAGGGATTTGACCAATACTTGTAGTGATTATATTTAGGGTCATCCAAATTGTCAGCAATTCCATAAGAGAAATGAGCACTACCACGAGTCATCATCTTTGGAGCAACAAAATGAAGCAGGTCTACGATTGAGCCAGCTGTGTAAACCTTATGTTCAGCAACTGCTCTTACTCCCTCAATTCCCATTTCATGGTATTCAGTCCACACATCACGACAAGTGGTATTAGCAACACTGCGACCCTTGAGGGCACCCTGTTAACAAGAAAATGAGTACAAACTATAAACATGATAGATTCAGAAAGCTTGATAAAATGTTTGGCAAAAGAAGTCTAAGAGTTAAGGTTTAAGAACTAACTCAACCCCATAAAATTGGTTTGTATAACGAGAATTATACAAAGCTTATAAGAACTACATTAACAATCTCTCTAATCAATGAGATCTAAACACACCTCCTCATATTCAAGGCTACTAGACATTTGGAGTGTGGCAAATAAGGATGGTCAAGTGCCAACATATCCTCTTACCTAAGAATATACATCTAGAGTGAAGATAAATGTAGGTGATCCAATAACAAAACTAGATATAACTAAATCTCACAAAATAAGTTTGTCAGGTGAGATAATTGTCCAACTCTTATAAGAACTAGTTATCCATCTCTTTACCATACAACAGTACAGAAATTTAAAGATTCATTGTTAAAATAAGCTCACCCGGAAGTCAGTCATCTCAATCGTAGAGGAGGGTGCCTCGGCCACGTCTCTTCCAAATGATATCATTCTTCCATAGTTGACAGAATTTGTTTCACTGGTCTCTTGTTGTGTTAACTGAGTATAGTTACTGCTGTGCCTTCTCTTGCTAGGGTGATAACCTTCCTCTGGTGACCAATCAAGATCACCCCATATAGTATCTCCTCCTCTTGGTATCATTGACATTGTTGAGTCCCAAGAACGGGTCATCTTCATTACATGTTGCAATGTTTGAAGCCGAAACAGATCGTTATCTAAAAATCCTGGAGCTATTGTCCTTGATTATAACATGAAAGAACCAAATTAAGTCTAAGATGCTGAACCAAAATAGTACTGGTATAGCATTAGTGGCAGTACAATTTGAATTTCCTTTCTAAATGCAGATAAATAGTAGGTGAAGCAGAAACTGTTAGACTCGTATTATAAAATTTGTAAAACAGCTTATTTTAACAACTAGATCAAACAGGTAGGTAGCATAAAGTTGCTGTAATTTTGAGCAAATTGCACTGATACCTCGTAAAGCTTCTTGAAATTGCACATGACCCTTTAAAGTTTACAACAACCCCCTCATAGAGGTATACAGTGTATTGTGTTTATTGGGTGACACAGCATAACAATATCATGTGTAATTGTACAAGGAATGTCAACGTAATATATTTCAAACAATTAAAGAAGGTAAGTGCAGAGTTTAAAAAGGAAGGAGTAATTAACTAAATATGTGGAAACCTCAGCAGTAAATTTGTAATTTACTTAGAAAAAATTGAGTATAATATTGTTGAACCAGGCTAAGTAATCACCAACTTTCTTCATAGCAACTAACATGACATGACCAATAAGTAAATTTACCTGGCAACAGCAATATCCCTGGCTTCAGCTGAGAAAAGCCCTGCTATAGCCTTGGGAACACCTAAAAATGGTCCACCAATGTTTACAACTGCCTTTATATATTTAGAACACCAATCTGGTCCTCCCCCACCACCCATAGGAGCTGGTGCTTCAACCCATTTCATAAAATGAAGAAAATACAATACACCCATTGAATGTGGAATAATAACTGCCTTATTCCCACCATTAATAGCAACCATAAGTTCTATGTTGCTTTTTATCCGACTAAGTGTCTGATCCCTCACCTGATCAATGAATTTAACAATTAGAGGAAAAAAAAAGATTCAGCAATTATTTAACAAATATATATATACTAATTTTTTTTATCTTAGTATAGGTTATTAATGATCAATGTACTTCTTTTTAGGTGAGTGGCGTGGGGCATAAGAACAGTAGGTAAAATCAGTCATAGAATATATACCTCAGTGTTCTGAAATGCTATTCTCCAATCATATGCAGCCATGTACATGGTTTTTTCTTCATAACCAATGCGTGCCAAGTTTGCAATTAGGACTGCCCATACAAAGTACCCGGCAGCAAAGTAATCAGCAGCTACAAGTCCAGAGACAGGCCTAACTCTTATGCCTGGTGGATCTAATCCTGTTTCGTTGTCCAGTGACATGTGATCCACCCAGCATGAAGGTCTGCACAACATCCATCAAGAAACAAAACATAAATCCTTATCCCACCATTTCTAGGCCTAGAGGAACTTAGTTACAAGTATCACTAGCATAGTTTAAGAGTGCAAGTTAAAAGAACAAGTTGAGTAAGAAGTGGCATATCAGAGAATTCCGCAATGCCTATATATCAAAGCAACAAAAATGGCAGTCCAATGCACGAATTTCCCACCTAAGGATAGGCTTTTTCTAGGATCTGAACCCGTGATCTCCAAGTCACAAAAAGTTACCATTGTGCTAAGGCTTGACATTTCAAAAACACTTAAATGATGGTGAACAATCTTATACACCTTGTCATACTGTATTTAGGATTACCATTTCGATTTGGAAATCTATCTTCTCTTTGATGTTTAAATTCAGTACATTTAGCTAACAGAGAGGTAAGAAGAATTGGAATGTTTTCCCCTGTGAAATGGATAAATTAAAGTCTCAACCAATAATTGTACTTCTGTACCAATTCAAGTATAAAGATTACTGTTCTATTAATAAGAATAAATTATGTAAGTAATTTTGTATGCTTTCAATGATGCAGTCTAAGAATACGGGGAATTCCAATATTAGAAGTTCATTGTTTGACCGTACTTGGGACTGATTGTTGCTTCACCCATCGATCAATGAATACTTGAGAAATCATTTGTCTTGTGAAAGTAATGAAATTAATGCCAATTAGAAAAATTCTCAACACTTTCACGCTGCATAGTCCTTCCACAGTTCTTGTTGCAGGGTACATTAATTATCCAGTGACGGAGTGATGCGTGAACTGTTATGTTTTTTTAAGTAAAAAGAGTTACACCATAATTATAAGCTATAGCTATTGGTCCAATAATAAGCGCTCGACTCAACAATAATGTAAACAAGTTGACATATACATCCAACATTCCAAAACTAGAGTTACATATTTCACCAAAACACCTCATCCTCCATACATCATCAAACGTTACCTCTTTAAGACGATTCCAATCTGCTATCACCCAACATCATCCTCATCAGCATCAACCAAAAACAGGCACAACACACACCAACAACATACTTACCTAGTGGCACGACAAAACAAGAAGCATGCATACATCACTATCGCATCAAATTAAGGTAATGACTAAGAGTAAATACTCTATGCACTAACAATGTAATGGAGTTTTACAATATCAGCTGATCACAAACGTTCATGCATGTCAAGTTTATTTGACTTTTATAATAATAAGTATCTTAAAAGTCATACTAACTATGTTTTCCGATTAGTTAACAATGGAAACAAAAAATGATGCTAACAGTGTATAGAAATTGAACTCAATGAAAAAAACAAGCACGAGATTTTATCATTATCAACAAAAAACAGAAACACAACATACCGACACCATAAACCACTTACCTAATAGAATGACAAAACAAACCACATGCAAACATCACCATCAAATCAAATTAAGGCAACAAACAAAAGCAAGAACAACCAAGATTGTTTGTTGTGATACCTTTTATATACTTCTCCAAAAGTACCACCCCATAAGCGTTTTCTGAATAACCCTTCGGCACACTGATGACCCTCCCATAGTTCAAGCCCCCCAGTGACAATCCCGGGTACAAAAACAACAGGGTGTTTTACCCTGAGCCCCTCCTTCTTGAGCTTAAGGCCCGGCGGGTCAGGCATGGGCCCAGTCAAGGCCTCAGTCACGTACTGAGGAATCGAAGAAGGCACCATCTGATACAGAAACAGAAGAAACCACCACAACGTGCAAATGCACCCCACCCACCAGCAACAGTTATCCAAGCACGACCATTTCTTCTTCTTCTTCTCCCTCACCTCACCTTTCTTCTTCTTACTCTTCTCATTCTTATCATCTTCTTTCTCCTCTTCGCTTAGAACCTTCGGCTCCGAACTCGGGCTCGGACCCTGTTGTATTTCGGGCCCTTTTCTCCGACGAAGAAAAGACATATTCTAAAGCACGTTACAAGCTTCAAACCTCAATTATCTCGAAAAAATAAATCACCTTTTTCTGTTTCTCTCTTTTTTATGTTCCGTTAACTTTTCCCCCACAAATTACAAACAGACGGGGAGGCGTTATTTTCCTCAATGATTGAAGATTTAGACAGAAATCAAAACCCCGTGAATCAAAATCCAATTGGGTAGGTAGCTCGGCCAACTCAAAATTTATTTTTCTTCAACAAAAGAAAACAAGTGGCGCGACTTATTGGTTATGGCATCTCTGAACCACTGAATGAAACAGATATTTCAAGCTTTGTCTTTTTTTTCTCTCTCTGTGTCTCAGATTTTTTCGAGAAACAAGGAGAAGCTTATCAGGAATTTTGGATGATGCTGTTATTGGCTGTGTTGTGTGATGATGGGCCAGAGATTGAGTTAATTAAAACCGAACTCGAAAACGTGGCAGAAAATAATTGGTTTGAGTTAATGATTCTGTGTTCGTCACAACTACTGTCAATTATTTGTGTCTGCAGGGTCATAAGAAGAACAACTACCAAGATCTGGTTTGATAAAACAATTTTTTTTATATTTTTTTTCTTACCTACTTGTAACTTTTTTATGAGATAGTTTTGTTTGAAAACTATCAAGTAATGAATTAGATTTTTTCATAAAATTAAATTTTTATTTATTAATTTTTAAAGATTATTTAAATCACCATGCATTTTGTTTTTTTACGTGCTTTCACACACCCAAAGGAAGTATTAAGCCGCACAGTGGATATATTAATATTATTTTATTAATGATTACATCGTACTAATATTTCTCATAATATTAGTATATAAGGACATGGTTTAACTTTTTTTATTTTTCAATTATCTGCTTCTGCACAAAAATTATGAAATAATTCTTAATAACATTTAATTAAAGGACTTAGAAAGTTGACGTTTCCATTAACTTTGACCGACAATCTACTAATTAGCGCCTACGAAAATGGTGGTGTCGGCAGGAAATGCATGAACAGCAGAAAAAGTTATTTATAATATATCCTTCGATGAAAAAAATAGTTATTTTATGATTTAAAGAATTTATATTTTTATTAATAGAAATTAAAGACAAACTATGATGAAATTGGTTAGATTTAATATTTTGATAATTAATTTGTTTAAAAAATAGACTTAATAGTTCTAATTTTTTTAGTATATTTTCACATGTTTTATCTAATTCATCAACCTAATAAAATGGAATAGACTAACTTATTAATTATTTTAAAAAAATATTTATATATTAAAATTATAATTAAAAAAAAATATTATTAAAATATACAAATATATAATAATAAGATAATTTAAATTATAAATATTTATAGTTAATATATAAATATAATATTTTTAAAATTTATCTAATCAAAATTTAAAAATTTTATATAAATATATTTTAAAAAAATACATATAAAAAATTATATATAAAAAAATATATTCATAGATTGACCACCAACCGGTACATTCATCCTTCGATAGAATTTGGTTAAGATTTGTATAATCATAACAAATCTATATGTGATGTCCTTTCCCATTTTTTTTATAAATTTTCTTACGCAAGATGAGTCAAAATGAACACACACCGTCTCATCTTATATTAAACTTTTATAAAAATGATGTAATTTAAAACTGTAGAAATAGAAAACTAAAACTTAAGTGATGAAATAAGAATGGATCGTTATTTTTTTTTTATTTTCTACTGTTTTTATTCTTACTCCTGTATATTAATCAATGAAACCATTTTTTCAATTATTTTTTTCATTCTTAATTCAAACATAGTCTTAATTAGAATTTTTGAAATAATTACAAAACTAAATATGAGTAATAAAAAATAAAAATAAAAAATATAATTATTTTAAAAAATAATCTATGTAAAATTTTATTATTTACAAAAATAATAAATAAAAAAAATTAAGTAATTGTATTATATAAAATTTCTCATATCTATTTTAAAAAAATAATAAAAAAGGTGATTTGAAAATATAAGAAGAAAATAAACCAAAATAGACAATAAAAAGACATATATATCTTCTCATTCTTTTAATAAAGAAGATAAATATTTTATTTATTTCTAAAATCAGACAACTTTTTTCTTCTTATCAATTATCCTAAACTATTTAAACCTTTCTCATGTTGTTTAATTTCTGGGGAAAAAAATCAATGCTTATTTTTAAGTTTAAATAAAAACAGATATTAAGAATTGTTTTTTATTTTATTAGAAACATTTATGTTGTTATGTCATCTTCGTTTTTTCTTTAAAAGTTTTCAATATGCAACTAACTAACTGGTTGGAACTAGATGAAGATTTGGTGTGTTTGATAACTGCAAAATAAAAGTTGAGTCTTGTAAGGTTCACATGGATTAATGATGGTGGCAGCTTTTAAGAAACACTATGCACATTCTTTAAGTATTAACCATCATCTTCTGTATTATTAATAATAATAAATTAAATGAATGTTGTGCTTTTTACCATTATTATTAATTTAAATTGTAAATATATCTATTTTTTAAACATGGAATGTTTTGTAAATATGTCATGGAGTGAAAATGCTAAAATAATATTTTTTAAATACAATAATTATATCTATTTTTAAATTTGTTTTGAAAATAAACTCAATAAGTTATTAAAAATATTTACAAATTAAAAGAATAGTGAAAAAAGAAAAAAAAAAAAAGAAGTTACACGTCATGAAATTTTAATTCAAAAATAGAAGAAGCCCGTGGGCTGGAAAAAGTAAAAGGCCCTTTCGGAGAAGGGCCACTCTGCGAAAACGCCTATTAATGCTTTCAGAAAATAAAAGTAAAAGTAATAAAGAAAAAATGTTACAGCATAAATTCTAATACACTTTTTTTTAAATAGTTTGTTTTAGTTAAAAAAATATTTTCATTACTAAATTTCACTTTTATTCAAGGGCTTTTTCTTCTTGCTTTACAATTTTTAATTAATTTAAACTAATAATAATTACCACTAAAAAGTTATATAAATAGAAAAAGAGAGTAATGATTTCAGATAACTTCTTATGAAAGGAAACAATTATGATTTGAGTTTGATTATATGAACATGAAAGTTGATGATGCTTCATTTTCTTACCTTTAATTTCTTTATCATCTTTTTTATACAAGTCATAGAATAATGCTTTATAAAGTACAGAAGAATGAAGTTCCACCTGAAAATTTGTAAAAATAAAATACAGAATATTTAACATCTTTATCCCTTTGTAAAGTTGCATTCTTTATGATAAATTACTTTACAATCATTATTACTATGCTCTACACATGTTTCATTACAAATTCAGAACACCTTTTTGGTAATATGAAATTTTGGAACCCACAAAACACAATTATGTTTTAATGGAAGATTAATCAGTTTCACACATGCATTTGATAGCATCATAAAATAATAAAATATAATTTTTTTATATAAACCCAATTATAACTAAATTATAAAACTTTTAAAGTTTTTTGTTATAATTTATTCTCTTATTTCTTATTTAATATAAAATCGTATCTTGTAAAAGATTGTTTAATTGTTAAAATAATAATTAATGGCACAAATAACTATATATATATATATATATATATATATATATATATATAGTTATTTGGTTATTTATTAATTAAACATAAAAAATCAATAACATTTTGTTTCTAACTATTTTTTGTGTTAGAAGAATTTCGCAAAGCAAGATGGATTCTTTTCCACGTTAACTTTTTTAACGTTTTAAAAGAAAGTAAAAAATCAATGGAAGATGGAAACAACAATGTTCCTATTTCTTTCACTATTTGGAATCTTTTAAAAAGAAAAGAAGACAAAAATGAAATGTTAGAACCGAACAAAAAGGAAAAAGTGATGATATATGTAAAAAGAAATACTAAATTATCTTTATTTTTTCATGTTTACCTCTTTTATGAATATATATATATAAGAGATTGTTTTTTTAATAATTCATAAAATATTAATTCTTTCGTTCTTTCCTTTTTCTCCTTTAAACTTTTTGCACTTCTTCTTTTCTTTCACTTATTTTTTTTCTTGGATAAACCATGAGAAATAAGTGGTCAAAAGATAACAATTTTTTTATCTAAATATAATTACTCATTTATTTTAGTTGTATAAAAACTTACTTTTTATATTAAAAAACATCATATTTTAGGTCTTTTTCGTATGTCATTTGAATATGTTTTAATGTTTATAGATATAACTTTAATTTTTTCTCCATAAACAATGAAGGAGTGATAAAATATTTATGTAATTTCATACAACTTTTTACGCAATCAAATAACTAGAAACTATTAAATAGTTGCATAGATGTATAAAAAAAGAAAAAGAAACTTAAAACCATCTCACAAACTACTTTGTTTTTGCCCTAGCCTTTCACTTTCCCTGCTTTCATTTTCATCCTCCACCAAAACATGACCTAGAAAGAGTGTTGAAGAAATGGCTAAAAGCAGTAAATGTGGAGTTGAGCATTCTCTTGTGGCCTTACATGGCAGATAGAATGATTGAAGGAGGCAAAGTAGCATCATTGTTTTGGCCTCTCATCCAAGTGTACATGCCCTAAATTCTTGAAACATAGTACAAAACCCAATCACGTCCTTCATTTTCCTTTGCAAGCATGTGACTCATGGTCCACTCATATCATCACAACATATATCTTCCTCACCATTCACTCATCAAAATTTACTCCAATCTATTAATGTCATTCAAATCATTCATATGATAATGTCTCCCCTACGGAACTAGGTGGCCCTCACTCTCTTCACCACCTTCAATCCATTAATGAATCAACCATTCCACCGTCACCTTTAACCCTTATATACGTCACGTACCAACCTAGGGCTACCAATATATATATATATATATATGGTCTTCAAAGTTTCAAGCTTTCTTCCATCGTAATAATCAAATATTAACTACGATTCCAACATTAATTTCGCCCATGTGCTGCATTGTGTCTCATAATGTGTCTGTTTCAC